ATCTCCACAAGAAGGTAATCTTCTATACACAACTTAGGTCTTCTACCACAAGCTCCAACATGTGAACAGAAACAGATCATCCTTTGGTCTTCAACCAATTACCCCTCTGCACCAGAGTAATTTTTTCCAAGCATGAACAGACACAACACCTTCTTTGGTCTTCAACTACTACCGTTCTGCATAAGAGTAATTTGTTCCAAGCATGAACAGTCTTAGACCCTTATGTGGTCTTCAAATAACTACCCTTCTGCCCAAGAATAGTTTTCTAAAGGCACACTGCTTAAATAACCAAATGCCACTGTTTGGTTATTCAGCATCTTTCAGAGCTCTAGAGAATCTGTTAATCCACCAGGCCACTTTGATCTTTAAGTCTCAAATTCTTCTTTCTTCGAAGCAAGGCATCTACTCCTTCACACAGCTCCCGCAAACTGCATGATATGAAGCATTAATTCCATTCATACCTGAGAAGATCAACTTATCTTCAAATGATGTGCCACAACATCACTTGAGGCCTTGAAGTTTCTGCTTGATGTCACAACTTTGGTTAAGACATTCAGCTGGAGAGTTCAGGCTTTCATTCTGCCACTTAGAAGATTATTTTTACTCAATTAGAACAAGAGTACATAGGCTTGATATCCAGTTGGAGTAGACAACCTCAATCCTGCTTTGTTGTACCACAACAATTTCCTTGAAGTGCATTTGCTTCATGAACTCCTCTTAAGAGAGACCGAACGTGCCAAGACTTGACTCTTTAATGAGGAAGGGTCACAAAAGAAATTTTTACACAAGGATTCCCGCTTTCCTTAAGTAGAGACTTCTTTAGAAAGTCAGAGGTAACTGCCACTTATCCTTGACTTCCAATATGACCAAGGTCATATGCTCCTATGCACTTAGATCAGAAATAAACTGACCTAAGCAGTGCTATCACCAACACCATCTTCTAGACAAGTTTCTTGCCAGGAAACTCTCTAGCTAATAGATCAGGTGCTTCTAGTAGAAACTAGAACACAACTGCTGCACTCAAATACTCTTATAGAGCAGATTGTCTTCATCTTTATTCCCACCAACACTTCATTCTAGCCTTAGTTTCTTGCCAAGAACCTTACTAGAATGAGTACAGATCCAGCTATATCTCCTTTGATTTATGGATCAACAGAATTCTACACAGTGTCTCAACATTTGGTTGAACATCAGCCCTTTGAAGTTGACCACACACAACAAGGCCCAGATGTTTTGTGCAATGACAGAGATTCTTCTTCCAGAAGCCAGACTTGGATCATCCACCTGATGAACCAATAGAGATTTGACAATGTTGATCATTATGGATAATCAATTAAATACTTGTGCATTCCACAAATAGAGATTGATCTTAAATCCATACAGCTTGTCGAGAAGGCCAGATGATTACACTTCAGTAATACCAAGAGTATTCTTTAGTATACCTATCTTTAATGTTGAAACAACAAGGCTGCCACCCTTGACTCAACTTCTCTATGACTTCCTCTGCTGATAGATTCCTTGCAAGTCACGTGGTGAAAATAAGTCACCTCCCACACAACAGAACAACCCAAGCAACAGCTCAAGCCCAACTTCCAGCACTCTTCCACAACCATACATCAACCTATATATGAGCCAGTCTTTTCCCAGGGGCATCAGAGTTCTTTTATCAGAGGAATATGCAGCGGAACCACCAAAAGAACATGCCCTAAACAAGATGTCAGATCATTCAACAGGTCATAGTAGCTCCTTATATCAGAGGGCACAACAGCATATGCATGGACTCCTTCACTCCATAAGTTGTAGCTCAGCAAGATCATTAAATCAACTGCAGCTTTTCCTTGTTTAACCACCAGAAAGTATCTCCCAAGATCTCATCTAGAATAGACAGGATGCCTGCTCTGATACCAATTGAAATTCTGGTATGCAGATCACATGTGTTCCAAGAACATTGATCTCTGCTCAACAAGGATGAAGACAGACCATGGCCAATTTAAATTTCTTTAAATTTTCCCAATGTCATGACCAATGTCACGACCTCTGTTGTGACATCTGCAGTCTGTCATGCTATTTATCTAACCATTTAAAGTACAGAATTGTAAATGAAGAAAGATAAATAACACAGTAATTATTCACCTAGTTCGGCATCAACAACACCTACATCTGGGGGCTACCAAGCCAGGGAGGAAATTCACTATTAGTAGAATCAATTCAAAGTCAAACCTCCAATTTTCACTTCTCACTTAATCTCTACCCAATGACACTTCAGCCTAGAGACACTCTAGTACCTGAGTATACCCACTCACTCCCCCTCAATCACACAACAGTGTTTTATAATTCACAATTACAAAGACAATATGAAGAGACACTTCATAAACACCTTGATCTTGCTTCACAACTTTGATTAAGAAACTCACACACTCTTGCTTCACAGCTTTGAGTGAGACACAACCTAGAATCTACCTAACCAAAACAATCATCAACCAGACAATTGCTTGGATTACAAGTATTCCTAAACAAACTTTACACGTGAAGACTAGCCTTCTTCACTTACAAATATGTCTACCACAATCTATCAAAAGATACAAAGGGTGACTTACACACAAGAGACTCTCAAACCCTAGACCTTTATTTTACACTCTGGTTTTTCTTGATGTGAGTGCTTGATTTCTTCTGCTTCTGCTCCTCCTTTTATAGCAATGCAGACTGGGCTTGGGTTGCTCCAAGGTAACAAACATTAGGTTTAACAAAGTAAACCTAATTTCCACTGATCAAGGTGTTGTCAAATTAGGTCATGATACTGCCTAGAATCTCGACTGAGTTAACTAAGAAGTCATAACAGGATTCCTGAAATGTAGCCTGAGATATATCAGGTATCATAACAGAAAAACAAGCCCAGCCCGTCTGATGTCATACGATCAATGTCATGACATTCAGTATGACATTCAGCTTTCACTTACTCTTAGCTGACCAGCTTGCCCTGCTGAACACCTCTGCAAAATCTTCATCATGACAGTCATGGTTTCTCCCAATCTTCTGTAGAATAACATTAGAAACAAGTATATTAAAGTTTCCTAAAACATCTCCAAGATCCTTTTATGAATACCAATACAATTTGTTTTTGTTCCTAATATATCTCCTTGACATATATACTAATGAGGTATTTTCAACATGGTCTCATCAATCCAAACCAATTCTGTCAAGAGATATACACTAGCAGCTCCTTCAGCACACCTCACTCACCACCTGTGAGGAACTTCATCACAACTCAACCTGTTGTGGCTACTGCTAACACATAGTAGCTACTGCTGTACTGGACACTGATGACAGCAGTTATGTCATCATCTTCTGCTAGCTCCTTCTGCATTCATGACATCCAGTTCATCCATGACAGCAGTTCTGTCATCTGCTCTTGTTAGCTCCTGCTGCACCAGATGTCAACACATGACATCAGTTCTGTTATCAGCTCCTGCTAGCTCCTGCTGGACCACTACTCCTATTGTTTCTCACACATGACAGCAGTTCTGTCATGACAGCAGATGGATTCCGTGATGGATGTCTCGACATTCAGCATGACATTCACATTAAAAACACTCCATTGGAGTTCTTTCACCACAGCAGATGGAGGTGTCATAACATCCTGCTTAACACCAGTACAGGATCATGTTTTACCAAAATTTAGCCAATCATAGAACCATGGAAAATTCTATATCATAAAACCATGGAACTAACAACTAAAGGCAACACATAGGGTATCCAGTGACTCAAAATTCATCTATTCAAAAAAATTCAGAAAAAATATTTGGGTCCACTCATATACTTCTTAGGTATTGAAGTTGCTTAGTCCTCATCAGGCATTACAATTAACCTATGTAAGTATGCATTAGACATCCTAACTGAAACTGGTATGCTTGACCGTCGTCTGATTGATGCAACTATGGATCCTAACGTCAAGCTTCTTCTGAGTCAGGGGGAATTGTGGATAGATCCGGGAAGATATCGACATCCAGTGGGTAGACACAATTATCTTACTGTCACCAAATCGGATATTACTTTTGCAATGAGTATTGTGAGCCAATTCTTGAACGCTCCTTGTAATACTCATTGGAATGCAGTTATTCGGATTCTCAGATATATAAAGAATGCACTAGGAAGAGGCTTATTATATGAAGATAAGGGTGATGCTAAAATCACTTGTTATTCATACGCAAATTGGGCATGATCACCATCGGATATGAGATCCACTTCTGGATATTATGTTCTTATTAGAGGAAATATGATCTCATGGAAGAGTAAGAAACAAAACACAATTGCACTATCTAGCGCTGAAGTTGTGTTATAACAACAACCTCAAAGGAACTTGCATGACTTAAGAATTTGCTCAAAGATCTTAAGTTGGGAGAACTTCAGGCCACAAAACTCATATGCGACAATCAAGCGGCATTTCACATTGCATCCAATCCGGTTTTTCATGAATGGACCAAACACATAGAAATAAACTGCCACTATGTAAGAGACAAGGTACTGTTAGGAGAAATAACCACAGAATTTTTTAAATCTGAAGATCAATTGACTGATATGTTTACCAATTCTCTCAAGAGTTCTCGAATGAATTATATTTGTAAGAAGCTCGGATCATACAATATATACGATCCGGTTTGAGGGGAAGTGTTAAAAATTCGTTATCAATCAATTAATATTGATTGATATTCAATTAGTCATAAGTATAACTATATTATTATTTATTGTGTATAACTATATTTGCATATAAATATATAACATGAATTCATGCAAATTCATCTTCACCATTCAAATTGTTTAAGTTTGCGGTGAATTCTATTAGTAAAAGAAATGGGAAGAAACATATAGTCTATAGATCACTACATAAAAATAAAATCTATAGCAAAATTACTTATAACAAAAAAACAAAAACTAAACCCCTAAAAAAGACCAAAAAGTGTAACAAAGAAATACATTATATAATATAATACATGTGGTTTTTTTCATGGGCATTTTACATTCCTTCCAGGACCTCCATAATAAAAATAAGTGCCCCAATCATTGCTACTACCCTGCCTAATATCATAACAACTTGAATGATCAGCTAACTGATGAATATTAGCAAGAGGAAGCAAGTTATTATCCCAATCAATCACTTGTAAATTTCTAAAATAAGCAGCTTTTCTAAACCCTTGTTCTGCAAAGTGTCCACTCCCCATTTGAGTCCCGGTGTGATAACCCTTAGAATGCGTATTCACAATCTCTCCACCAAACTGTACCATGCTTGCATGATTCCTCAAGTGACTAAACATGGTTGCTGGCCAATATCCAACTAACAGTCCTGAACCGTACTCTAGCCACCAGTGTCCATGCTTTGGATCCTGTTGTTTCACAATCATTTTCAGCATGCTTTGCATTGTAAATTGTAATATAAGCATGCATAAGCACTTAGAGTACTATTCAACTTGGTCATAGAGAGGACCACTATTGACACATTGACCAAAAGAGATTATGATTATTGAACATCATGGCTATTGGTGAAATTCAGCTTTTGAGCATTTAGAAGCTGTTTACAGAAAGACCAGAATAAAAGTAAAGCGTGAATTATTGCTTTAATAAAGGAATCGAAAGGAACATAATTAAAGTAGACTCCATTAAGGTCCACTATGGATAAATTCAATAAAGGCATATAAAAAAATAAAGCAATAACATTGATTTAACATAAGAAAAAGTGTTAAAAGTAAAACTGTTTCAATTATATACAGCATTTTAGTTCATAATTTTAATACTCACCTTCCAAATCATTATGCCAATATCAAACTGTTTACTGTTATAAGCTGAAATGGGAGAAATTGCTGCCCCTATTGCTATCTTATTGTTTGTTTGGATAAAACCTGAACATAGTAAGTTGTAGCATCCAGTTGTTTGATATGCATCTGTCTGTTGTTAAATAGCACATTTCTTTCAAATCAATGCACAAGAAAAAAAAATAGGGAAAATAAAGGGAAAAGAAGTTGCATAAATTAAGTACTGTTACTGATACTTACAGTCCAATAAGTGAAGAACCTTGGATATTTGTCCCCATACAGTTCTGGACTTACCTGCAGAGAAAGATATGACCTATAATGAGAATGAGCAAATGCATTCCTATTCCTAGTAACTAGATTATCTAGTATAAGCACTTATATGATAAGTATATATATGCCATAAGCAATTAATTAAGTGTTTGTTTTTTCAAAACTCGATATCCGGTTTACATACAGACTAATTTGAGGGACCAATCTCACTGTCTATTAATAGGGAGAGAGAGTTTTGTATGAACTGACCCAATACAGAAATTGTTGGCGTCTGGGGATTCGAATTTGAGACTTATTAAATGAATATTAAGAGGGATAGTTAAGGACAAAAAGTGTAAGGACATGCCTGCCAACCAGCTTCTATGGTATTGAGATCATCACCAAAAGAGCCAGCAATAACCCATATTTGTGACAAACTAAATTCATATACATTTGTTACTTGTGGTGTCCACACATTTATATTTGCCTTTGCTCCAAAGTATTGATTTCCATTTACAAAGAGAATTGCATGCTGCAATAAGATAAACAACTTGTCAACAAATAGATATGTTGCAAATTTGCAACAAACATAGACGTTTTTTTTTTTGGAGTTTCTGCTTGAAAAATTATAAATGATTGGCCTCTAATAACCAATGTAGGTACAAGAAAAGCTTTCTCGTCAAAATCCTGATTTTAAATCTTTGATGTTACTTTTTGGTACAAACAAACACAAGTGGTGGTGTCCTTTCACTGTCTGTTAAGCCAGTGCTGTTCTTTTCTTTCTGTCGAGAAAAATGTGGGTGGGGAATGAAAGAAAGACTGTTGATGGAAAAATGAATAATAGTTAATTACATTTTGTGGATGATTAATGTATAAGTTGCAAATTATTAATCATCTAAACACAATTTAGAACATCATTAACCATATATCTTAAACTAACCTCATGATCACTACTAGTTGAATCTTTCTTTACAGGTTTTGGTTTTCTTCCAAATCTTTGGATAGAATTTGCTCTAAGAAGATCCTCTTCTTTTGTTCTTCTGATCGGAATCGTTCCTTCGGGACACGCTTCACCGGAAACAGTCCACAGTTGAAATGATCTCTCACTAACATTTTCTCCATTGTTGTTGTATCCCTTTGGTCTTTCGGGTGGATTCTGTAAACCTTAATCCACTTAATTACTTCATGTTATCTCAAACTAATGCAAGTTCATTATGTTTTTTTTTCCGAGAATGTAGTTATTGAAATTGTTACCACTGGTGTGTGCCCTTTAAGCTTAGGATGATCAAAAGCTGGTTGTTGATGAGATAAAACACAATCTATCAAATCACCATCTGGACTCTGCAACAAAATGATATCGCGAACTTATAAAAATAAGATGAAAACAAGTTACAGACCTATCATAAGTTGTTTCGGTAAACTCTCCAAAGAGTTTCAACGGTACTTATATCAGTAAATAAGATCAAATAAGTCAATCATATAACTGATTATAGAGAAAAGAAAAATGCATGCCTGAATTGTCTTGACAGGAGGCTTATTGATTTTCTTGAGGTGAGTTCTGATTCTGCTTAACTTGAGAAACACTTCACCTGCTTTGAAAGTTTGGTTAGACTTTATGTGCTGAGTAGAATCTGAGACAATGGTGTGGTGAGAATGTGATGGTGTAATTGAAGTAAGAAGAAGTAGCAAAGAAACAAAAGCAGGTAGCATAGGTGGAATGTTTTGGGAAGTGGACAATATGAGAGAATGGTTTTGTGCAGATGGTTGTTTTGAGACAACATGGTGTTGTCTTTTAGTGTGGTGTTTGCTATGTCTTTTGCAGGAAACTGAGTATTCCTTCATGTCTATTCTAATTCTAAACAGAACAATTACCAAGAAAAGAGTGAGCGATTGAGAGAAAGAAAGAATAGTGGTTTGAATTTTATGATCCTACTCAACATATAAAATAGAGTAAAGTGCATCGATGTAAGACTGTACTTTCTTGTTTCTTGCTGTCTTTAACTTGTGTTTTACTTTTACACGTCATTATTATGAGGTGAACTAATTAACGTCTCACCCAACACTTAAATCTCACATTCCCAACCTATATGGAAAGACTAAATTAATTCTGAAAAAAGAATCTCTCAACTTTATAGCAGGAAATTTTGAATTTCAGGACGCATATCAGAAATTTCAAAACAATTATTAAAAATTTTAAAATAAATAATTTTTTTCAAAAGTTCTATAATTTTTGATATTTTTTATCAGAAATTTTAAAATTTTCGATATTTTTTACGTGAAATTTCAAAATTGATACATAACCAAATATTCTTTACCGAAAATTTTAAAATTTTTAGTTGTTCAAAATACTTAGTCTTGTATCGGAAATTTAAAAATAAATTTTTGATAATTTTAAACATCAATAACAAAACTAGAGCTCTGATACCAACTGAAGGTTGAGAAACACAAGAAAGGAGGGTTTGAATTGAGTTTCACATTTTTACCCCTTTTTGCGGAATTATAATAATAAATATAACAATGATAATAAAAATAAATGACACAATTATTTTTTATCCTGTTTTACTATTAACAAAGTTACTCCAGTCCACCACTCAAGATGATTTCTCCTTATCACAAGGACTTAATCCAATAATCATCAACGATTATAAACATAACAGATACCTTCCATTGTCTTCTTGAGAATCCTGGCATTCGTTCGCCTCTCAAGGAATCAACCTTCAAGCCGTCAACAACGATCTGGCCCTCTCAAGCATTCTGGTCATCACTCGACTGCTCAAGGAACAACATCCACTAAGTTGTTAGAAACACACTTAGTCATCTCAAGCATTCTGCTCTTCACTCGACCTCTCAAGGAACAATACTTTTTCCAATGATTTTCTTGTGCACTAATATGCTTCTTACAAGTTGATTACACAGATGAAGTACATGAACACCTAAGTGTTTCTAAGCAAGATATGAGCAACAACTCCTTAATTTCTAATACAGAAAACTATCTAAAGAATGAATCTCTTAGAGATTATAAAACAATAGTTTTGTATTGCTTAGAAGTTTTCTTGATGAGCATTAAGGCTTCTTTTATGAGCTTTTAGCTTCTTTTCTATTAACTCCTTCTTGAGTGAATAATAATTCTTCCAGTTTAACCATCAAGATCAACTAAGTTATTATACTTCACTTATTGATGTTTCACTTGACTAGTTTCACATGACTTCAACATGTTGCATCGTTGCACGCACTTCAATTTGCTTCAGCTTCGTCTTCATTGAGCATTCTTCATTTAGGTTTCAGCTTGTAGCATTTTCTTCTACACTTTGGCTTTGCATAGTAGCATGCTATCATCAACAACTCGCTATTTATTATTTATAAATCAGCAATTCTTCAAGCTTCTTGATCTTCAATTTATAGAACTTAAGAGAATAAATCTGTTGAAAGGTATTCTTGGAAACATATTCCAACAATAATATCCCAATGTTCAAGTGAATGAATGGTCAACATCACTATACAGAAAGTTGTTCATGCGCCACCTTTTCGAGGTAAAGGTAACCGAGTTTTAGTACTATTATATTCAGCTTAAAAATCATTCTTATCTTCAATCTTCTAGCATTTTCAGATATTAACTTGATGAAGCGTGTTGTAGAAGAGTGTTTCTTTATGTAATCTTCAAAACCTCAGTCTTCAGAATTCCAAGATGTTTGTTCAGCAGAATCTATCTTGAGAATCCTCAGCACTCATTCTTTTAAAAGCATTATCTTCAAAGTCTTCAGAACCCGTTCCTTCAAAACCTTGTCTTCAGAGTCTTCAGATTTCATTTAGCCCACTTTTGTCTTTAGAGTCTTCAACATTTCGTTCATTCAGAACCTTGACTTCAAAAACTCTTCAGAGCTTGATCTTTAGAAAAGATGTCTTCATAATCTTCAGAGCTTTGTTCACCAGGACCATGTCTTCAGAATCTTCATAATTGTATCAATATATTGCATATTTCTTGTAAAGCCTTCTAGGCTTACTTATAAAGTATCAATCAGAAACTTCGTTACTAACGTTCCTTAGAAAAATTGCATTAGAAGTATTTATGAATCTTAACTTTATCTTGTACATACATATGTTTTTCTTCCAGAGTGTTGATAGCAGAGTCTGATGATGTCGCACGTCTTTTTATCAGAGTCAGAATCATATTGACAACAGCCACACACTAGACAGAAACTATATCATATATAATTGTTCTTTTAGATAACTTGTGCAGTTATCATTAAAACTTAAAGGTCATATGTAAAACCAAATCTTGTTTTTACAATGTGATGTCATTTAGACACCATACACTGGTTATAGAGTCCATCGTGAGTTCGAGGTCATCATTATATTTAAGTTATATATGGTGGGAGACCATGGTTATGAAACACTTGCCCAAGAGGTTTTTACAACAATATGGTTATGTTCAAGGTATCCCACGACGAGTTCCAGATATCTCAGCTTTAGAGATTGGTTGATGGTTTTAGAGTAACTTTATCAGCTTTGGTCGTGCCATCAGAGATCGAGTGGTAACTGTTAGAACACAGATTGGTTCTTAATAATTACTCTTTGTTTTGATGATAACTGTTAGGAAATTTATATTTAAGAATTATATACTCTAAAATTTGTTTGAGAGTTTTACTGCAGATTGAAATTATATTAACTCTCTAGAAGCAAATCTGCCTTGAATACAAGAAGTTATTCTGACTCTGAAGCGCCAGATGCACCTTACAGAAGAATCTGTTTGGTCCTCACAGAAGATCCTGAGCGTAGTCTCTAGAAGGATCTGAAGAAAGAAGCTCCAGAACATTCTGAGTCAGAAGCATCTGAAGATAATCAGAAGCATCTGAAGATAGTCAGAAGCATCTGAAGCTGAAGCATCAGAACTATAGAAGAATATTGATTGAAGAGTTTCTCAAAGCATTAGTCTACAGAAGTTTCTGAAAGTACCTACGCTGCCAAGTACTGAAGTTCTGTGTCAATATGCTCTGATGATCAACACGCTAGAAGCACACGCGCTGCAGAAGACTCTGATACAGCATAGTTCTGAATCTCATTAGAAGACTCTGAGCCATTCAGACTCTGAAGAACTTGCTGAAACTGAAGAAGTATTTTCAAGAATATATCCGTTGGAACTATTCAACGTCTCTTTCCTTATTTGTGCTAGACACACTTACACAGACAAAAAGGATTTTTCTGTGCCATCTATTTCAAGGAAAGGTCAGTTGATGTGAAGACAAAAAGGCTCAGACCTTTTGGGACTCTCTTTTCAACGTTCAGCTTGCATGATTCAGCTGCCTATAAAAGGAGATCTTCACTTCATTCTTCAGTGCTACACACTTGCTGAAAAGAAATCAAAACATTCTAAAAGCTCTCATTCTTATTCTTCATAGAATCTCATTGTACTTAAACTTAAGAGAAAAATCACTGTTGTGATTAAAGCTTTATAGAAGCATTAAAAACTCTTGTATTTAATTTACATTGATTGTAAAGGATATTCCTTAAGAGGATTCAGTTAGAATCAGTAGCTCTTGAGAAGACTAAGAACTGTTGTTCTTAGGTGATACTATTGTAATCAGTTTGATTTAATAGTGGATTAAGTCCTTGTTGAGAAAGGCAAATCACTCTGGAAGGGTGGACTGGAGTAGTTGTTAAACGAACCAGGATAAAAATAATTGTGTGATTATTTTCAAGTCTTAATTTTCCATACTTATTCAATCCCCCCCCCCCCCTTTCTAAGTATTATCTCACCTTCAGTTGGCATCAGAGCTCCGGTTCTGAGTGTGCTATCACTTAACAGTGTCAGTAAAGATCCAGAGAGATATACTTTGATAAATATATTTATTTGTTATCATGGCTGATAATTCAATGTCAAATATTAACAATAAATATGAAGAGAGGGATAGGATCAGCACCAAACCTCCAATGTTTGATGGAGAAAAATTTGATTACTGGAAAGACGGAATTGAGAGTTTCTTCCTAGGATATGATGCTGATCTATGGGATCTTGTCATAGATGGATATGTACATCCCACAGATGGAGATGGCAAAAAGATTGACAGAAAATCTATGACAGATTCTCAGAAGAAAGACTTCAGAAATCACCATAAAGCCAGAACAATATTACTGAATGCTATTTCACATACAGAGTATGAGAAAATCACAAACAGGGAGACAGCTTTTGATATGTTTAAATCCCTTAAAATGACCCATGAGGGAAATTCTCAAGTTAAGGAGACAAAAGCTCTGGCTCTAATCCAGAAGTATGAGGCTTTCAAAATGGAAGACTCTGAATCTGTTGAAGCCATGTTCTCCAGATTCCAGATACTCACTGCTGGGCTGAAAGTTCTGGACAAGGGATATTCCACGTCAGATCATGTAAAGAAAATCATCAGAAGTCTGCCCATCAGATGGAGACCAATGGTGACTGCCCTGAAGATGGCCAAAGATCTGAACAAGATCTCTCTAGAAGAACTCATCAGCTCACTGAGGAGCCATGAGATTGAGCTTGAGGAAGATGAACCTCAGAAGAAAGATAAAGGTAAATATGTAGCATTAAAATCTAACAAAACTGATAAAGCTTTGCAGGTCATTCAAGAAAGCTCTGAAGAGTCTTCTTCTGAAGAAGAAGATGAGTTATCCCTGCTGTCCAGAAGGATTAACAAACTCTGGAAGCACAAGGGAAAGAAATTCAACAACTTCAGAAGATCTGACAACAGAAAGGAATCTTCTAGTCACAGAAGATCTGCCAAGAAAGAAGTGGTGTGCTATGAGTGCAAAGAACCTGGGCACTACAAAAATGACTGCCCCAAACTTCTGAAAGAAAAACCTAAGAAGAA